GAAATATAGAAACTATTTCCGATTAATTTTAATAATTTTTAAGTGGTCCTTCATTTATTGGGGGGCACTGTATATGTTAAACTCTATCCACAATTATATGAACCAAAAATATAATATAAAAAGATAATTTATCAAATATTAATATATGTTTTTAAAAGATACTTTTTAATAAAATATATTAGTAAATTAGATGGTTTAAAACTAATAATAGGATTTTTATCTCCTATATAATTTCACTTGACATATGAATCTACTTTTGATATAAAGTTCATATAAATTGAGTTATATATAAATGGATTGATTATAATTAAACTTATAGTTAATAGTAATATTAGTATATATAAGACCATTTAAATATATGGTTTGAATATAATAAATTTAATAAAAATCAGATATTGAATATTTGTTTATCTATAAAAAAAATGATTTTAAATTATAATATAAATATTAATCAATTGTTTTTAATTTATATGCAATAATCTTTTTATAATAACTACTATCTGATTTTTTTGAATTATTGTCTTTTGAATTTAATTTTTTGAAATTTTAATATAATTAACAAGTTTATATCAGTTTTTAAATATATTTTATATGCAGAAATAATTTTATTATTTCATAAATATAATATAGTTTATTATTGAATATTTTTTTTAGAAAATTATATTGTAAGAATAAGTTTATAACAAAAATAAAATGATTAAATAATTTTAAATACCTATATACAGTATATTGTTTGGAATATATTGTTTATATATTTAAAATTTTATTTGAATTGCTTTTGTTTTGAAAAGATTATATACATTTAAATAATATTTTAAAATTTTTTATACTATACTTTATATAACTTATTTTATAATACAAATTTTTTTGTATATCATATATACAATAAAATTATTATATATATACTATATGGACAAAAGTATTACATGTTTTAAATTTATAGTATTATTAAACAAAAATATATATAATAACTTTATTTAAAATTTTAATATGTTTTTGTTTATATTTTAAAAAAACATATGTATAATTTTCATGTTTTTTTAATAGATAAACATTAAATTAAATATAAATACATCTATCTTTTCAATATTTTTAATTTCAAAAATATGTATATCATTTAATTAAAGATCAATTTGATGAAATTATAAGTCTATATAAAGATAAACAATCCTTATTAAAAATTTCAAACCTTCTTAAAATTTATAGAACAATTGTTTCTTATATAATTAAAAATTAACTTAATAGAAACAATTTTGTTATTTTTTTAAAACTGAATATTCAAAATTATTAACTTCTAAAAACAAAACCATTTTAAAAAAAATAATAAAAAATCTATAGAACAAATTAAAAACAAATTTATTGAAAAAATCAATATTGAAGTTTTTATCAAAACAATTAGAATAAATTTGTATAAAATAAATATTTTCTTTTATATAATGAATTGCCAAAAGTTTATAAATATTTTTATTTTTTTAATTGTATAATATTTATTTTAATAATTATAATTAATTTTTTATAAAAATATAATAAAAATTTTTTTATTTATCTTATATTTTTCTCTCTAAATTTTGTGTAATCACTAATATGAATGCAAGAAAAGAACCAATACCTAAACAAAAATTGGCTATAATTTATGGTTTTCAAAGAAAAGATTTGTATCACACTATTGCAGCTCATATCAAATATAAAAAATTAGTTGTGGGTAATATTATAAACAAGTTTATTAAAATCAGATCTACAGAACCATGACCCTAAACTGAATAATTACAATTCCTCAATGATTATGCCTATATTACTTTTAAAAAAATTGTTACTAATAAAAAAAATCAGTTATTGTGCAATATAGAATTAATAAATCTTTTTACATCAAAAACAAAAATTAAAGTATCTGAAAGAATAATTCATCAAACTTTATATCATGAGATAGTATTACAAATCATTAATTAGAAATTTTGGAATTAACCAATCAGAGTATAGGAATTTTTAATTGCAACTAGTTAATTATAATTAAAACAATTAATTAATTAGAAAAATTTTAACCAACCAAGATCATTATTATGAGAAGTTAAAATCTCATGTTGCTATCCTAAACCACTTGTCTCCAAAAAGAATATTGAAGAAAGGTTTATCTAGTGTCTTGAGCATAAAGATTGATCTATTCATAACTTTAAAAAAATAATCTGAAGCAACAAATTGACATTTTCTCAGTTTCAACAAGGAAGTAAAAACTGTATATGGTATAAATTACATAAGAAGTGGAATATCGACTGTTTTTTTGCTATGGTTAGCTATAACCTGAGTCATATTTATTGGGGTATTTCTTGTAATTCAGTACTGGCCCTCTCGTTTTCTTTCATATGTCAGTTACAGATAAGAAAAAACAAAAAAAATAAACAAAAAAATAAAAAATAAAAATAAAATAAAAATAAAAAAATAAAAATAAAAAAAAAAAGAAAACCAACGAATTTTTTTTTTATTATTTTTTTAGGAAAATCCTATGTCAAAACTCTTGAAGAAAATCTTTTGCCAACTCTTCGTAATTTTTTCATGATGAATTGGATTGGTGTAGATTAGCCTTAATTTTAACATAACAATGCAAGATCCTATACTACAAAAATTATAAAAAAGTTTTTTGCTGAAAAAAATATTAGGATTATGAACTGGCCTTTGCAAAGCCCAGATCTTAACCTTATTGAAAATCTCTGATATATAATTAAATATTATTTTAAAAAAGTTATACCTAAACCTCAGAACTTAACAGAATTCAAGCAACATGTTAAAAGGTGTTAGGATGAGATAAGTTTAGAAGATTGTCAATGATTAATCAAAAGTATGTCATATTGTATTACAGCTTGTATTGCAGCTAAAGAAGGATTAACAAAATATTGATTATTTAAGTAAAATTAGAAATATAATCAATATGTAAATATTTTATCATATAAAAAATTTTTTTTATTTAAAAAATTTTTTTATTGAATTTTAAAAAATATCCATAAACTTTTTGACAATTCATTGTATATCAGCTCAAAAATTACTTTTATATAGAATAAAGAAAAAATTATCTAAAATAATATATTAAAAGAAAAGATTAAAACATTTAAAAATAAAAGACTATTATATAAAGTAATAAAAATAGATTTATAATATTTAAAAATAATAATTTTGATTGTATTTGAAAAACTCTTGATATAAGATATAATATTGAAAATATAGTTTCAATAGTAAAATTTGAAGGTGAAGAAATAATAATATAGGAATGTTGTTTTTTAAGTAAAGAATTAGATCTATTAGTAAAAATAAGTAATAAATTAAATAAATTATATTATATTAAAATACTTGAAAAATATTTATTATCTTTGATTAATGATAATTTAATTATAAGAAATATTTGTTTCAAGATAATAATGCTTCAATTTATATTGCTAAAGATGTTTAACAATAAATTTTAAAAAATAAAATTAGAATTTTATTTAATTGACCAAGTCAATCTTCTGATTTAATTCCGATTGAATATTTATGGTTTGAATTGAAATAGATTTACAGTATATCATATTGAAATTTATTTTTATTTTTTTCAAATTATTAAAATCACGAGTTAAACTGTATACCACCTTTTTACAATTTTTCAATAAAAAATTTATTAAAAATTTTATTACAAAAAAAATGCCATTATCAAAAATTAAAAAAACAACACCAATATACTGTACAACAGTATTTGTAATTCTGATACCATTGTGATTAGGTTGATTTCTTTTTTTTAATATATTTAATGTGATCATTGCTATACACGGCAATTGTTTTTCATTGAGCCGATGGGGGGTTATTCTTCAAGCAGGGCCCGTTGAATTATTATTTTAAGATTTCATTCATTTTTTCTCTTTAAACATGGTTTTAAAAACTTGCATTATTGTTTATTTATTCATAATACTGTACAATTGAACTTGACCGATGCATTATTTTAGAGAACAATGTTCTACTCAACCACCTGCCTTTCTTATGATTATGGATTAAAGTTACAAAACGAATGGTAGTGGTTCGATGGGTATTTTTCGCCTCGAGAAGAATCGATGGCTGACCGTTCTTCCACCATTCGCAGACCCTTTGTTGTCCAAAGTTTTGTGTTCAAAACACTCATGCATCGAGAGGATCGAAAAAAAAAAAAAAAAAAAAATTTTTTCTCGTATCTTTACGGTTGCCTTGGGATTTTTTTTTGAGTCGTGAGACCTTTTGCTTCATCTGAATAGAAACTAATGTAAGTTACCCTGGATTATTATCTACGACAATAAACCAAGAATTAAAAATTATGATGCGTTGGGCCTCATTGCATGATAATAATAATAGATGATTGATTGCTTGAATGAATGGATAACATTGTGCGATCGAATCATCAAGATCTTTCTCAAGGAACGCAGTGAATGTGTCTTCACGCTTAATCAAATATGAATGCATCCATGTTTACACATTTAATCTCTTCTTTGTCACCTGGTTCATTTATGCTTGAGACATCATCCTTTTAGGTTATGGATCAGTCACCGATGTTATGCTCAACATAGATCCAAACTTAATAAAGAGGAATACAGATTTATTTGCTTGAATTTCGGGGGGTAGATTTCAAGTTGAATGAATACCTTTTATAACCGATGGATGTCGAGGGAACGTGACATTCATTTTGTTGGTAAACATTTGCTTTTTACGGCCAACACACGCACACAATGTAATATCCATGTCTTTTGTGCGTCCGGCACTTGCTCTATCGCTTTCAGCACGCATTAAAACCTGTGCATAATCCTGATGCCCAGATGTACAATAGCATATCAATTTAATCGAAATGATAAAAGATCAGTAGTTTCTTTATCAAACGTTGAATCACCAACCATGTCAATCGTTGACTTTATGAAATTTGGGAATGATAAGCTATTAAAAATTTCAGTGATCATCACCAAATGCATACACCCCCGGCAGTATGTACTTCTATTGCCACATTCACGAGACAAGGGTCGCATTTTCCCGAATTGTCCATTGGGAGACAACGAACATTTACTCATTCAACCCCATAGATTCTACATTTCAGAAAAAGTTAGACCTGTCGCTTGAAACCAAGAAAGAAAAAGAAACATCGCGTTTTCCGCATTCGGTTGCGTGGAACGACCAACACTTGATGCATTCAAACAATCGACAACATGAAATCATGTCATTGTTATTTTCTTTTTTTCATCAATGCCAACGCCCCCCCCCCTACCCCTTACAAAAGGTGACCTTTTCAGGTAGCGATAATGATTAGCCACATCGGGGTACGTGATTAATCGAACTGACCACCTCGAAGGGTCGGAACCGTCCAGATGAATGTCCTCCGTTTAATCATTGGTGTTTATCGATGCACGCCATCGGGTGTTACGTTCCATCATGTTCAAGTGTCCTGTGCGAGGTCATACAAATCACTTCAAGTTGGTGAGCGAGTTTTATTTTCCACATCTCACGCTAAACCTTTCCTTGATCACAAAATTAACTTCGTTGTGGAACCAACCAAAAGGAGGTTCGCACGTCGACTTAATTTGTTTACTTTGTGTAATTATTTACAGGATATGGTGTTTTGTGTGAACAAATAAATTTTGTGTGTACAATGTGTATTGATTGTATGCAAAACTTTTATTCGTCGGATGATTTCCCGCCGAGAGAACCCTTCCTCTCCTAACTGACAAACTGACATTAATGAAAGTACGCACATACAGTACGTAGGTAAAGCACACGCGATCTCGTGTCTGACCATGAATAAGGTGTTGTTCATGACATGGCCACTGCCTTTGTTGAACCATTTTTTATCACGTACGAGTGTTCAACACCGACGCAATCTTGGAATGAGAAATCTTCGATTTTCTTAAAGGCACCAATTGTTGATGTTGAATCTCACATCATTAGTGCACTTTTACCGATCCTCTGTAAGAATGACACACCAACCACCGATACGCCATTGAAATACACCATTGAAATATACCATTAAAACATACCATTAAAACACACGTTTCACACTCGATGATAATATTCTTCGATCCTAAGGATTGTTCTGATTTTCTCAACAATAATTGAAATCGACCTTTGTCGTCATCACAATCCATGCGCTAGGAAGCGGCATATAAACAGTGTCGATATTTACACAAGAAAAAATGGAGGTAAACAGTGGGGGAGACAACAACAAACACTTAGGCACCTTACATTAATAAATAGATTATATGCGTGTGTATTTATATTTGTGATTATAACGTGGACTGTGATGTGAGATGTATGTGTTGTGTGTGTAGATTTTACAATAAAGTTTCCTTGTACCTTAATTTGACACCTGATACCTGTCATCGAAAAACTCCATCAATGGGCATTACGATGACCTTCTTATCACCATCGTGATCATCCATTTTATTCACGTCAAGGTGTACGTGTGAGATTTCTGCAATTGGTGTGAATTTTTTTTTTTAAAAACTCACTTAAATCGGTGTCGAACCATAAAAGGTAATATTAAAAGGAACAATTCATTATGGTGTACGACCCGAGTCGGGAACTTCACAATCTCGTGTTTACAAATTTTGTGCTCATCTTTTAAATAGTACGTGTGTAAATCAATTTTACAAAAATAAAAATTAAAAAGAGATTAAAAAAAAGGGTGAACGTTGATGCAACATCTACTCACACCCTTTTCACATAAACAATTGCTCGGTTCAAAAAAAAACGAATCAAGCCTCTTCTCGCCAATTAATAGTAATTTGTATGTATGCACGGACAAATTAGGAAAATCTATGCAGATCTCTTTATGAAGAACAATATTTGGCGAAATGTGGTAGGCGTGATCATCCAAAAAGATTCTTCCAAATGACGAAAAGGAATGTCTAAGCCTCGATCGTGGTCATATTAAGCATTCGGGCAATTGAACATGCCGTGATTCGATGAACAATCCGTTTGCCAATGACATCCCAAATTAGCGAGTATCACCTAACAAGCCTCTCAGTCTGCGTAATGTGTAGATATATGTGTGAATATTGGGGTAAAATTACTTCATTGTTGATTTCTTTTTGACGTAAAAGTCTTAATGACCTCGAGAATTAAGGCTTGGCCTGTTTGTTTTTTTTTTTTTCGGGTAACCCAATAATGTGATAATGCGTAGACACACATCATAACTTCGGTACATCTCTATTATGTACGAACTTTAATAACTGGTCAGAAGAAGGAGCGATAATACAGTATGTACGGACTTAACGTGTGTACCACTACAATTCAAGAACGCACACAAAGAAAGAATGAAACCTTAAAATAATTTCCCTAAGCAATTGTCACAAGGAATCAATCACTCTTAAAAAGAATTCATATACATGAATTTATCCGACGATTGAGAAATCCAAAGAACTTTTTCCTACAAAGAAAAACAATCATATTCCAGGGATACAGGGACGGGAAGCTCAAAGGTGTGTCAAAAGCGAGCAGTGCAGTGAAAGTGAAAGATGTGGTATGTTTACTAATGCTGGAATAAACTTGGTCTACATATGAAACGACGCATCGTGTACGTGCGTACGTTGTATGTGGGAAGCAAACTGATTACATAACATATAAGCAAGGACCACAAATAATACGTGTGATCATATTTTTTTTTTTTTAGTAAAAACTTTACGTCATTAGCAGTTTTCTTTCGCGAATAGTGAGGACGTTTTAGCCATGTTTGGTTCAAATTCCATGCTAACAATCCTTTATTGTCAGAGTTTTGTAAATCTTGTACGAAAAAGTAAATGAATTTTGTGGTGCTGATCATATATCGGTTGAATATCACGATCCATGTTTTATTAACCATCCTCACTATCACTTGTCATAGATTTCTCTGAAAAGATAGGATTAGCCGAAAATGTTAATGAAAATTGGAATTCATGCAACGGGAACCAATCAGGATGGTCATTGCAATGACCATTGATCGAGAACATAGAACGTCCAAATACATGATGTAATTTAAGTAACTCGTGACCGTCTGTTTACTAAATTAGGTCTGAAATGTTAGGTGATTTGATAAGTAGTTGTTCTTCGAACGCGTGAGTGGAATTACGTACACACACACGTACGTGTAATCAATCAATCAATCAATCAGTCAGTAAAATTGGCCAGATAGCTAAGCCCGTCGGGAAGCCTACAAGCGTTATTGCGTTATCACCTCTTTCTATGGCTCCATCAATGTTTTGTGTCTGTCCATGCATTAGATGCCAGGAATATTTGCTTTTCAAAGGAATCACAGAATCACAAACGTTTCTTATCACCGAACCGGAACACCTAACGCTAATATTGTAGAACCTAAATTTTTACTTTATGTATGCGCGCACGTTTGACACGGAGAAAAATATTGGCTCAATGATTCAATTCAATCTCTTTAGTAAACTATTGGATGGCGTAAACATAGAGTTTTTAAAATCATAATCATACAACTCAATCAAACAAGATGGAACATACACAAACACAAAGTTACTATAACCTTTTTTTATCTTGTACCACATAAGAGATTGGATTTTTAAATGGTTTGGATATTTTGTCAACTTATCGTTTGACAAAAAGTATCATCATAGATCTTGAAAGAAAAAAATATATATTGATTTAAAAGTCGTGAAATAATAACATCAACATTGTATACAATACATAATAGATACAGGAGATTAAAAAAATATACGCATAAGAAAAATCAGATCCATTTCAAATTTCATACTGTGGATACAATGTGTTTTTTTTACTACTCGAAAAAATCATCACATGAAATCCAATAAAAATCTTACTTTACAAATAATAAAATAGATCAATCTTTAAAAATTTATGTTTTTTACAAAATAACATTTAAAAATACATAAATAAAAAATATATACAATAGTATCTCTAAAAATAATTTAATATTAAATTTATATATACAAAAATAAAGAAATAATATTTATTTACTTAAAAAAATTTTTTTCTTATACAGTATATTTAATAATTTTAAAAAATCTTTTAAAATTTATATTATTATAAAAATCCATAGATTCTTAAAGTATAAAAACTTATAAAATTATTTTAAAAAATTTTTAGTATCTTAAAATAAACTTTTTAAAATTATATTTATAACTATATTATATAATTTCATCTGTTTAAAATATAATATAATAAATAAATATTTTTCAAAAAACATATTAAACAACTATATTATTTAAGTAATAAAAAAGAATAAAAAAAATCAATTAATACAAAAAATAAATATATAAAACAAATTAATAATAATTAAATTTATTTATAATATTTTATTTTATTTGAATTCAAAGAAATATAATAATCAAAAAATTATTTCAAAACTCTAAGAATTAATCAATTATTTCAAAAACATTTATATTTTTAAATAAACTATAGAAATTTGAATTAAAAATTCAAATAAATTAAATTAAAAAAGACAAAAATATTATATAATATTTATATTTAAAAAAAAAATAAATCTTAATTTTTTAAAAAAATTATATTTTAATTTTTTAATTATTTTTATAGTTAATTTAATAATAATAATATTTAAATTAATAATAATAATAAATATTATAATTGTTTAAGTTTTTATTAAATATTATAACAATTTATAGCTTATTAATATATTTATTATAATAAACTTTGAAAAATTATTTGATTATATAATAGGTAATAAAATTTGTTATAAAAAAATAAATATTTTTAAATAATGTTTTGTTTTAAAATTATTTTTTTAAAGCTTTATTAATATTAAATATTTAGTAAAATAATTAAAAATTTTTAAAATAATTAGTATTAATATGATAATATAATTTTAAATAAAAAAAATACTATATACAATATATACAATATAACTATATATCTTTTTTTTTTTTATCCACAATTAAACTAATATTGTTTTATTTATTAAATTAGAAAATTTTACAAGTATAAAAATACAAATAAAATATAAATTTTCTTAATTCAGCTTATATATTAATAGACAAAACTTTTAAATATAATTTATGAAAATAATATATTGTT